AAATAGGGAGAGTATTTTCTGTTCTGAATAAATAATCAAATATTTTGAGTCTATACATTAAGCTTATACTAATACATACTTATATTTCAGAGTGTATAAACATATATTTTAGGATTATTTAATTAAAATAGATTTCCCAGGGGAACTAAATGTTAATGTACTGCCCTGAAGAAAATGTTGGGATATAAAATGTGTTTTTTTATTTCCCCAGTTGCCCTTAATTAGTGAACTACAGTATAGAATAGTGTTATTTAAAGTTTTATTAAAGGCTCAAAAATAGCATGAAATTATTTCATACCTGGCCCTAAAAAGGGGAAGTGAAAGGGTCGTTGTTATTTCCAATTAAGTCATATGTTACTTTTCATTGCTGTGTAACAAATTACCACAAACTTAGAGGTAATGCTGTTTAAAACAGCTCCCACTTCTTAACTTACAGTGCTGTAGGTCAGGAGTCCAGGATAGCATGACTAGGTTCTCTGCTCAGAATATCACAAGGCTGAAATCAGGGTATCAGCTGAGCTGAGTCCTTATGTGGGGGATCTGGAAAAAAGCCTAAGTCCACACTCAGTCTTGGGGTCGGCAGGATTCGCTTGCTGTGGTCGGCCTGAGGTCCTGTTTCCTGGCTTGCCCTCAGCAGGGACCACGCTTGGGTACCAGAGGCTGCCCACATTCCTTACCATACAGCCTTCTTCATCCCCAAATCACACAGCAGTTCAAATCTTTCTCATGCTTTGTATCTTTCACTTCATCTTCTGTGACCACCCAGAGAAAAATCTCTGCTTTTAAAGTGCTCATTTGATTAAACCTGGCCCACCTGGATTCTCCTTAGGGTCAACTGATTTGGGATCTTAATTGCATCTGCAAAATCCCTTCCCAAAAGTACCTAAATCAGTGGTTCTCAAGCTTGGCTGCACATTAGAATCACCTGGGAATCTTTTTAAAATCCCAATTTCTGGGCCTCATCCTCCAGAAATTCTGTTTCTTTGTTATGGGGTGAGGCCACAATGTTAGTAACAAAGAAACAGAATTTCCGGAGGATGAGGCCCAGAAATCAGGATTTTAAAAAGATTCCCAGGTGATTCTAATGTGCAGCCAAGCTTGAGAACCACTGACCTAAATGAATGTTGGATTGATTAACTGGGAATAGGTGTGTGTGTACCCAGGGCCAGAACCTTAAGGGGCCACTTTAGAATTCTCTCTATCACAAATGGTATTATATAAAATAAAACTGTACTATATCTTCCACATCCAAGTATTTATACCAAATTATCCAAATGACCATCTTTAAAAACCCTATTCCACTGGGACTGCTGTAATACCACAGTCTGGGCAGCTTATAAACAACAGATATTTATTCCTCACACTTCTGGAGGCTGAGAAGTTCAAGATCAACACAAATGTAGTGTCTAGTGAGAGCTCACTCCTGCAGTGTTCTCACATTGTAGAAGGGGCTCTGTAAGGTCTTTTTAATTTTTATTTTATTCTCTTTCTTTAAAAATTCAGAAATAGAAAAAATAAAAAGAAAATCTTCTCCCTCCTATGCACTTACGCATGGAACAACATGTATGATATCACAACACATATGCCTTTTATCCATGTAGATCCTGGGCAATTCTTTAATATCAAAAAATTGGGCCTAGAACAGGGCCCATTCCCTATCATATGGGTGGACTATGGTAGAAAGAGTTCACATGACATTACTTATCATATTTCATGGGACCCCTAACCCAGTGATGGCGAACCTATGACATGCGTGTCAGAGGTGACACGCGAACTCATTTTTTTGGTTGATTTTTCTTTGTTAAATGGCATTTAAGTATATAAAATAACTATCAAAAATATAAGTCTTTGTTTTACTATGGTTGCAAATATCAAAAAATTTCTATATGTGACACGGCACCAGAGTTAAGTTAGGGTTTTTCAAAATGCTGACACGCTGAGCTCAAAAGGTTCGCCATCACTGCCCTAACCTCTAGATGACCAAGAACTCTGCTCCGGATCTTTGGGTCTCCAACATTCACGTGCACACAAGTTACCTGGGCCTTGTTAGAATGCTGGGCTGGTTCACTGGATTGGGGATGGGAGGTGGGGTCTGATCGTCTGCATTTCTACCAAGGCCCAGGGCTGGACCCCAGACCTTTATCTGAAGGGCAGGGCTGGGAGCAGTGGCCCTCACCCCTGGGAGCAGGTTAGGATCACCTGGAGGCTTTAAGAGTCATAGTTGGGCTCCACCCCCTCCCAAAAAGGGTTCTGCTCTCACAGTCTGGGTTGGGGTCTGGGCATTGGCATATTTTAGGGGGCTCCCCAGATGATCCTAATATTCAGCTAAGATGCTCCATGCTAGGGCAGCAGACTTGTCAAACAAACAAAATTTTCATATTCTCTTTTTGTCTAAAATTTGAAACGTGTGAGGATTCAATGAGGATGTGTGGAAAGCACCAAGAACAGTGTGTGTCTGGCACATAGAAGCTCAAGGAATGTTGGCCATTTAATACCAAGCGTTGTATTATAAACAGTCAGTAACTCTACAACACAGATTGTGGGCCTTAATGTAAATGAGGGGACTTCAGGTAGCAACACTCACTGATGTTTCAATATTGGTTCATCAATTGAAACAAATGTACCACATTATTGCAAAATGCTAATAATAGGGGAAAGTGGGGTTGCACAGAGGGGTGGCATATGAAAACTCTGTTTTCTGCTCAAATTTTCTATAGACCTAAAGCTGCTTTTTAAAAAATAAAGTCTATTAATTACAAAAATTAACAACTAGCACCACACAGACACTGGCCCATCAGATTGAAGCAGAGTCCCACAGGCCCCCTGAGAGACAGGCAACAGCTCTTTGCTGAATCATGCAGGGGGCGGGGGGAGGGAGGGCCCCCAGGGAAGGGATGGACGGCAGTCAGAGGGCTCAGGCCTTTGGAATTATTTCAGCGTTTGAACCACTGGCATGGCCCTAGCACCTGAACATCAACTCTGATTAATGCTATCATTGTTATTTCTTACTAGTGACACAGTGCATGAAATTCATGCACATTAAAAGGGAATTAATTAGAGGAAATATTTCAATATTGCTATTTGCCCTTTCTCTATAATAGAAGTGTCAGAGATGAAAGGAAATTAGTAAAATGTATATGAAAATCTTCCTCCTGTCAGAGTCTGGGGCGCACCACGGGAACCAGAGTCAAGTCCCTGCCCACCCACGTGTGCCTCGAAATCACACAAGACCCAGACCCAGCAGGCCCCACCCTTGGGCTAGATGTATATGAAAATCTTCCTCCTGTCAGAGTCTGGGGCGCACCACGGGAACCAGAGTCAAGTCCCTGCCCACCCACGTGTGCCTCGAAATCACACAAGACCCAGACCCAGCAGGCCCCACCCCCATTGGGCTAGATCCAGACCTGGCCGGCCCCACCCCCATCAAGCCCCGCCGGGTGTGGGGTGCAGCCTCAGGTCCCCCAGCCCGGCACTGGGGTAGGGTGCATGGCCTGAGGTCCCCCAGCCCGGGCCGGGGCAGGGGGCATGCCTTGAGGTCCCTGTCAAGCCCCACCATGCGGGGGGCATAGCCTCAGGTCCCCTGCCCCGGCCAGCACCACACAGCCTCAGGTCCCTGCTGATTGCTCCTTAAGGCTCATTACAGGAACTCAGCCTCGGCTGTGGGCGCCCCCATCTTGTTACAGCTCGATGGCCAATTTGCATATTCCTTCTTTATTAGATAGGATTAGTTAAAGGCAAAAATGAAAGAAGCAAAGAAATGACAATCCTATAAGATGGATATTTTCCCCCATTTCACACTTGAGGAAACAGGCGCAGAGAAGTTGTGATTTGCACAGGGTCACACAACTGTTCAATGGGGAAGCCAGGATCTGAACCCGAGCTTATCTGCCTCAAAACCTAACCTCTTCCCACAGGAGACAGGCTCTTTCTGGCCAAGAGCAGTGGCAATCAGCTAACCTGTTACTGGTTTGCTTCTTTGTGAAACTGGGTCATGAAGCTGGCATTTGCAAAGTGCCATAAGTACAGCTTCACTCACGAGAGGCTCCTGCCCAACTCAGCCACTCACCTCCCTGGGCAAATCTTTTTCCTGCCTTTGCTTCCTTTTAGATCTAGAGCAAGCCAGCATTGTAAGGGCCCTTAGCGCTCACGGGTCTGTCATCCTGCCCTCCCATTTCATAGACAGGAAAAGTGAGCTTCAGGATAGGGAAACAACTTGGCTAAGCTAACACAGCCAGACCTTCGCTGAGCTGAGACTAGGAACCACGCCTCTGACTCCCAGCATGCGCTGCTCCCTGGGGCTGTGGGGCTGGAGTGCTGCTGCCCTTGGCAGGGTGCGGGTCAGGGCATTGCAATCCTCACTCCCAAGCCTAAGTGCACAGGTGCAGTTAAGCCATAAGAAGCCACCTCCCACTGCAGTCAGTGGGCTACAAGGCCACTCAGTAAGGCGTGTTCTGTGATGCCACTGGGAGTTGGCCACGTGTGACTTCACAGAAGTGTGACAGTGTTGCATATACCTTCCTGGGTTTCAAATTTGCAGCTAACATCCCTCTGGATCTTCCATGCAGCCCAGTGTGTGGCTCACAAAAGCCAATGGGTAGGTGAGAGTCCATTTATTATAATGAGGGGTTGGGTTTTATGAGCACAATAACCACCTTTATCCATCAGCATGAAAAAGTGGTTTTAAAGTTAAAACGATTACCTGGGCCCTGGCTGGTTTGTCTCAGTGGATAGAGCATTAGCCTACGGACTGAAGGGTCGAGGGTTTGATTCCAGTCAAGGGCATATGTCTAGGTTGCAGGCTCAGAGTCTCCAGTGGGGGCGTGCAGGAGGCAGCCAATCAATGATTCTCTCTCATTATTGATGTTTCTATCTCTCTCTCCCTCTCCCTTTCTCTCTGAAATCAATAAAAATATATTTAAAAAATAAAACAAGGCTCTCTGCTCCTCCTGTTCGTCAGACAGCCTCCCCTCCTGTGCAGTGCCAGCAGCCACAACCCTGAGACAAGGTGGTAAAGGTCGGAGTTGGCCACATTGGGCACCTGGTCACCAGGGCTGCTTTTAACTCTGGCAAAGTGGATATTGTCGCCATCAATGACCCCTTCATTGACCTCAACTACATGGTCTACATGTTCCAGTTTGATTCTACTCATGGCAAGTTCAAAGGCACAGTCAAGGCTGAGAACGGGAAGCTTGTCGTCAATGGAAAGTCCATCTCCATCTTCCAGGAGCGAGATCCCACTAACATCAAATGGAGTGATGCTGGTGCTGAGTATGTTGAGGAGTCCACCGGTGTCTTCACTACCACAGAGAAGGCTGGGGTTCACTTGAAGGGCGGAGCCAAGGGGGTCATCATCTCTGCCCCTTCTGCAGATGCCCCCATGTTTGTGATGGGTGTGAACCATGACAAGTATGACAACTCCCTCAAGATTGTCAGCAATGCCTCTTGCACCACCAACTGCTTGGCACCCCTGGCCAAGGTCACCCCTGTGCCCACCTCAGCCTCGCTGCCCACAGTTCCTTTCAAGGTGCATGAATTTGTGCACTGGGCCCCTAGTAATTATAATAACTCCTTTGAATCTTTGTCTTCTAAATTCAACATCTGGGCTAACTCACAGTCTCTAATTGCTTCTGATTTCCTGATTATCGGTTATACTTTCTCACAACTTTTGATTGATATTGAACATTTTAGATAATATATTGTAGACACTCCAAATTCTGATACTTCCCTCCTGAGGGTTGTCATTGCTGCTATTTTGTTTGCTTGTTTAATTACTTGCCTGGACTAAACCTGTGGAATATGTCTCACTTGTGTGTCACTGCTGATGTCTATACTCAGAGATTTTTTAAATTGTTGTTTTAATTTTAAGATTGGCTTCCTAAAAGTGGCTGTAACTTATTCTACCATCAGAATGTAGAGAGCTCTGTATCTGCATAGATTATGGTCAGCCAGTTATTGGTCTTAATCCAAGCAAGGCTTCTACCCTTTCCCAAGGGTGTGTGTGCAGGTTGGGAAGTACATTAAAAGTTCAGCAGTTTTCAGGTATGCTCCAGTTTTACTTTCCATCAGTCCCTCTTGTGTCTGACTTGTGCATGAACACAGCTTCCCAGACCATGTATGTATGGTATGGGAAAAGGCTGCATTCTGTTCAGTCTTCCATGAGCATTTATGCATACTTCCAGTTAGTCAAAGCTGACATAGAGAGTTTATCAAGCCCTCCTACGGCTACCTCATTCCCTGGGTGTCCTTGTTAAATTTCTGTCTAGGTCACTGCCTGTTGCTTACTGCAGTCAGAATGACAGCCTCAGGCTAGCTGAGCTGTTGGCCTTCCCTGGTGGCTTGTCATCAAGATCACTACTTTTACTGACAATGCTGCTGAACACAGGTTTTTCACCCAGACTTCATACCAAGGGATACTCCTCCCAAGTAAAGCTTCTGGTTTTCCTAGCCTTCTCTACCTTAGTAGAATAACTCTGCCATCCAAACTGGAAATAGCCCTGGGCAGGAATTCCACTGCTCTGCCTTGATCTTACCTGAAGTTCAGTTATTTCTCATGAATTAGCACTTCTCACTTTGTTGCATGCTTTTGGTAGATTTCAGAGTTCCCAAATGGTTGTTTTTTTTTCACAATATGTTTATTATAATTGCTTTTTAGGAAATAATTTGCTGACCTTCTCGTGCTGCCATACTAAAAGTTCTAACTCAGGCATGACTTTTCAATCTAAGGTCAAGAGCTATCCTATCTCCATGATACTTTTAAGCAAAGCACTGCCACATTTATGAGTTTGTCTTCCTTTAAATGAGATTCTGAGAGGAGGCAATTTCCACTTTCATTACCCAGTTGAATGAGAACAACTCAGTGGCAAAAATAAGTACCAATTAGTGAAATGAAAAGTTCAAGCTGTGAATTTATCCTCAAGGCAAACTGCTACAATATGAAGGGCAGCAATGGGATGTAAAATATACAAGCAAAACAAAATATACCTGGAGGTTGGACCTTCCTATGTTGTTTATTATAAATTACAGATTGATTGATTAATTGATTGATTTAATAGACATATATAGATAATACTAGAGGCCTGGTGCACGGATTCGTACACTGGTGGGATCCCTTGGCCTGGCCTGTGGGGATCGGGCCAAAACCAGCTCTCCAACATCCCCTGAGGGGTCCTGGATTGTGAGAGGGCACAGACCAGGCCAAGGGACCCCATCAATGCACAATCAGAGCCAGGGAGGGGCTGTGGGAGGGTTCCAGGGTGTGTCCAATCCATCTCACCGAGTCCTGATTGGCCAGACCCCAACAGCAAGCTAACCTACCAGTCAAAGCATCTTCCCCCTGGTGGTCAGTGTGCATCATAGCAACTGGTCAAATGGTTGACCGAACAGCCAGACACTTAGCATATTAGGCTTTTATTATATAGGATATTTTATATATGTATATGTATAATATGTAATTATAGAATTTATTTAGACTACAGCTTATACTGAATGCAGATCATTGAATTAATTTCAGTAAGTTAATCTAAACATATATGGCAATTTTATTTATTAAATAGTTATCAAATTTAACCCTATTACTTGAGAACATAACATGTTTCAGAATAGTTGTGTGTGTGTTTTTTAACATATATGATATTCATGTACCATAATAAAAATGCTGCTTTACCAGTGGAAAAAGTTTCAGGAACATTAAAGATATTTAGCAATTTAATTTTAAAAATCCAAAACAATTAAAAGTTGAGGGTAAAACACAATTTTTAAAATCTATTATTACCAAATATTGCCAAAGATGTACAAAATTATGGAAAGTCTACTCTGGTGGGAAAATAAACTACTATAGCCACTTTGGAGAACAATTCAGTATTATCTAATAAAGTTTTTGAAAATTCAATCATACAACCCAGTAATTCCATTTCTTTCAGGGAGACATGTATACAGAAAGGTAAATTAAAATGAATGTACTAGATCTAAATGTAAAACTAAAACAGATAGATTTAAACTATAACAATAAATAGGAAAAACTTAAGTAGTAGAAAGATTTAATATGTTACCATTTATATAATTTTTAAAGTGTTTATGCATAAACATGAGAAGTTAAAATTTAGTGTAATAAAATGAAAGAATATATTTCAAATTCATAATAGAGGTTGTCTCTGAGGAATGCACACAGATAATGCAGTAACAGAAAGGAATAGAAAGGGACTTCATATGTCTCAGTAAAGATTTATGAATTTAGAAAAGAAATGGAAATATTAACCCTTGCTAATTCTCATTGATAATACATGTGCCGCGCCAGGGTGAACCTGAGTGGGGGCGGTGAAGGATTGAGAAAAGACAGACAAGCCCTAACCAGTTTGGCTCAGTGGATAGAGCGTTGGCCTGCGGACTGAAGGGTCCCAGGTTCGATTCCGGTCAAGGGCATGTACCTTGGTTGTGGGCACATCCCCAGTGGGGGGTGTGCAGGAGGCAGCTGATCGATGTTTCTCTCTCATCGATGTTTCTAACTCTCTGTCCCTCTCCTTTCCTCTCTGTAAAAAAATCAATAAAATATATTTTTTTTAAAAAAGACAGACAAGAGAATAAAGCTGGGTCTCAGTGGGATGCTGTCCTCTCTGATGGAGAGCTAGCGACCGTGCCATGGACTACAAGCCGTGTCTTTATTTTATAGCCAGATTCCACGAGGCAAAGTAAGGGCATGGTCAAGATGTTTACAACATTCTCGTGGGTCTTGATGCTACTCAATTACATGCACCTGAACTCTACCAAGCCCACATCACTTAGACACGTGGGGCCACGTGTTCGGACCATAGGTTCAAGCTTACAACTTATAGCTGTTGGCTATAATTGTGCTGGGAGGGCTTTGCCCTCCAAGCTGGGACTTGCACGTGGCCATGAGAGGACTGTGCCCTCTCATTAGTCCGAGGCTTGAACCTGTCCAAACACTGTAGCCGCTCTCCACAAATACATAGGTGTGGATTATATTTTCCCTGATATTCCTAGTTTTTAAAATATGTAACCTTTTAAAATATGGTAAGACAGTGTCAAAATAAGTGGGCTATAACACAGGACTGTTTAGTGTACCTGTCTCCAAAATACCAGCTAATAGTACCAACTAATACATTTCCAAAGCATTGCCTTAAGGAATATAGGTGATAATGGAGTATTCAGTAAGTTCATCTACATCAATTCTTCTATATCACTTATATTAATACATTATTTACATTTAGCATGTAATTATTGGGGTACTCTATATGGTGCAAAAGCATTTTAAGAGAGAGCCAATTAATGTAAAACTTGATATATAACTTCTTCTTTAATAAATATATGCCTTCAAAACCACCTAGGTGAGTTATAGCATTCTTTTACTCCTCTAATACTTTTAAATGAAGTGATGCACTACAGCCAGCATCCTTTCTGGCTGGCAATTTGCTTCTAGTGCTACCCCTCGTGGCAGCACCCTTACCCTATCTAACCCTATTCCATAGCAGTACTATAATCCAGAAAAAAAATATTTTGTGTTCAAAGAACTGGGCAATTAAACATTTTGGACAGATTAAATAACAGCTGTTTGGCTCTAAAGTGTGATTTTTTTAACCTGCTCTGAGTCAGGAGACCCGTGTAGATGCTCTGCATTTCTATTTTGGGGACCTAAGCACATTTGGGCCTTATCAAGGGGGAGGCTGAGGGAGGGGTGGACAGGCAAATTTAATTCCCTTCCAGACATTGAGCTACCTGGGCAAGCCACTTCACATAGCCGTGCCTCAATTTCCCTATCTTTAATACTACCTTATCTATCCAGAAGGATTAGTGTAAAATTAAAAGAGATAACACAGATAAAGTTCTTGGAACGGTATCTAGCATGTTCAAGTCCTTAGTAAGTATAAGCTATGATCATTACCATCGTCATCACTATTTTATTATTATCAATGAGTTTTAACAACCCAAAAGCCTAGTTTTATAAAAATTATTTTAAACATTCACTTATTTATTGCATCTTTCAACAAATGTATCTAACTACTTTAAACTTTTTGTTTTTATGTAAATCAATGATGCACATCCAATGAACAAAATATTTAAGATGGCAATTATAATTTAACCACCTCAATTCGTTTGTGGAAAAATAAACAGGACATAAATATGCAAATGCATTGAGTATGAAATTACAGTATTTTACTGGTATGTTTCTAATAAAGTATCTCAAGTTATAAGTAAATACACAGTAACATGTATAAGACTGATCCTCGCTTAGTTTCGTGTTCCTTAACCACTCTTTTCACTTTCATTACTAGAATTCTCATGTTACTTCCTATATAAGAATAAATTATCTTCCCCAATTTTCAAATAATCTTTCTTTTCTCAAATAACAACTAGATGAGAGGATAATATTCATCTAAGAACACTCAATCTGACCAAGTACAGGAGCCAGATCTTTCAACACAATTAACAAAGGACTATAATCTATCTCCGTGTTATACAGTATATGCTGATTATAATTGTATCACTTGTGTTGTTTCATTTAGGCTCCTTTAGTTGTGTGACAGAGGCATCTACTACACCCTGTCTGCCATGTGCTCACCCCGGTTCAGAGCCCTCCTGCAGTTTGGCAGTGCCATTGGACTAGTTCTGGTCAACAGACTGTGCACAGAAATAGCATGTGTCCATTTCAGACTGAAGCATTTAAAAGCCAATATATAAACCTCCTGCTCTCCCTTCACCTGCTGTGGCAACAGTGAAATTCACTTATTGAGATGGCAAAGCCACACTATAAAAACAACCTACGTTTTTATTTCTAAGTCTACTCTTAAAAGAAGACCATCCCACATAACTGCCGGCTTTTTGTGAGAGAGAAAATTAACTTTTGTGTGTTTAGCCACAAAACATTTCAGCTTTATTTTCTTTGTAGAGGATAGTCACAAG